ATGGTCAGCCGACCATCACTGGAAATGGATACACTAATTCCACATTTCTTGAAAATGACAGCACATCAGGTGCCATGATTTCACAGGATGCTTGAGACTATTAGGCCAAAAAAAAAAGTCTCCGGTTTCTGGTATGCGCGCGCGTCGCCGTAGCCATGCGCGTCGGCAAAATGAAAATTTTTTTTTTTCAATGAAAGATGATGTATCAAAACCGCCAAACTCACTGGTTTGACTGGAATTCTGCTGCAGCGCAATTTCAACGTGTTTTTAGATGGGGTTATGATCGAGAATAAGCTTTATGTGGCCTCTCTGGACTCCCATATATTTTCACTAAGTTTAGTCGGGCACCATTTGCAGTCATCAGCCGACATTTGAAGCAAAAAAGTCGGGTAAAAAAAAAAAAAGCCGCGTCGCCGCACCACTTTTTGGACAAGCTCCATACCAGAAACCGGAGACTTTTTTTTTTTGGCCTTATTATCTTACAAGTTACAGTTAAGTAAGGTGTACACAATATGTATTTCATAATAATTTGGTAGTTTTGATTTAAGATTTGTGATACATTTACCACATTTTTTTGTACAGCTTTACCTGTACAGTACAATGCAGAAAACAGTTTTACAGATAATTTTCCCCCAACATTTTCACTGTGTGATTTCCTGTTGTGGAATCCTTTAGACATTTTTTCCATGTAATAGGAGATTCATGGTAAAAGGGAGGTCAACCAATACAGGGTCCAAAATTGACTTTTGAGTAATAACCGAACATGACAGCAATTAGTGGTGGATGACAGGTCCCTGGCACAGTGTGTGCCTAGCAGGGTCACGCTGGGTCACACCAGGGGAGCTTCCTTGAAATCTCAGCATAGCCTGTGAATGGAATGGTGGTGTAGAATTACATGTACTTGATCACTGTTTTCTGGAAGGAATAGCTTGTGCTACTGTAATTACATGATTTCCTGTTTTTGTGTGTGTGTGAATTGCAGACATTTCTGGCACTATGTTCTTTGCTTGTATTACAAATGTACAAAAAATGTACTTGTAAATTATACATACATGTACAATGTACAGGTCCCTTATTGCAAAAACAATGTTGTGTACACACATCCCTGTGAGAAAAGTGACAAATTGTATACAGGCCCTCACAGTACATAGCATGTAAAGTTAAACAAAAAAAATCACTTATACATTTTGAGATCCTTGATCAAGTTTCCATGTTCAGGGGAGGGGGAGGGATCCGTTGTGAGGCCCTACATTGTTCATCTACATGAACATCAGAAATTATTTGTTGTGTAAGAACAATATTACCTTGTACTCTGTAATTCTTACATTTATGTGGACATGATGATGAATGAATTTGCAAGCAAACAATTTGCAGACAGACTCCGCTATTGGAGGAATAAGAATGTAATTGAAGAAAGTTCTCAACCATGCCTAAACCATGCCTAAAACCTTTCTTTGCAAACACATATATTCTGTGCCAAGAACAATGTAGTCCTTTCAGTCAAAATCAAACAAGTGACTGTTTTCAACACTTAAGAATTCTCAGCCTGCATAAAGCAGGATTGACTGGCTTTGACTGGCTAAGTAACTTGATACAGCTATGTGCACGAACATGCATGATCTGACTGTTGGTGACTAGCCTTTGTTAAAAGTATATATAGCAGGGCAAGTGGAAGTGAATTTTGACTGTCTGTGACTATTTAAATAGCAAGAGGGCTTGATGTACATTTGCAGACTTACCCCCTAAGCTATGTAGCTAGAAAGAATGTACTTGTATTTTTGTATACAATAGAGTGGAATGGCTAGAATGCACGACGACACTGTCTTGACCCTTACAATGAGTGATGAGTAAGTGGTATTGACTTTCCCAGTCATCAAGATACCAACTTCCACCTCCATCCATTGTGCATGCTCAATCCAAACACATCCCTTTGTTTGCCCAGTTTGTTACGCTTGGCCGCTCCTCACACATCCCAAGACCAGGCAGACTGAGGATGACAAGAAATAGCCATTTAATGGCCTCCCTGTATATGATTGCATTGATGACTGTGCGGTAGAGTCACGATGCATCATCAGATAATTATGTTTTTGATGGGGGTGATCGAGGGAAAGAAAAATGGAATCCGATGCCGAGCAGCTAGTATTACAGAATACATACAAAAAAAGTACAGTCATACACGATTGTAAAATTGCTGTAAATTTAAAGATTTTGTTTAAAGAGTGTACCATTCTTTTTTTTTTAAATCTGTAAATTTACAGCAATTTTGCAATTGTGTATCACTGTATGGGGGTACTTTTTTGTGTGTATTCTGTAATATTAAGGCCAAAAAAAAAATAAGTCGGTCTCTGGTCAGCGCGCGCGTCGATTTTAATCATGCGCGTCGATCTTTTTTTTTCCAAAATGTTCCGCAGTAGCTCCAACAGCGCCCTCTATTTCCGCACCTCCTCAATTTTTTTTTACCAAAGAGCACCAAGGAATGGGAAATTGCACCAAGGCAAATGATCGAAAGCACCAAGGCAAATTATGGAGGACACCAATGTACGGTACATGAGAACACCAAAAAAGCAAAATAGTACCCCACCTTGTCTGTACAATCCAAGCTTGAAGAAAAAAAAAAAGAAGCCGCATGGCCACGTCAATTCCGGAACTTTGGTCTGACCAGAGACCGAATTTTTTTTTTTTTGGCCTAACCGACAGGATTTTTTTTTAACCCCTACATCAGTACCATTCATGAAATAGTGGGTGGTTTCTCTCGGATTTTGTTGTATTGGTAGTGAACAGAAGGGTTACAAAATGTAAATTTAGTGAATAAGGCAGTGTGTAGTGCAGTTAATGCCTATGAGTATGAGATAGTACATGCATACATGTAATTTCTATGTAATATTTATTAGGGCCACAGTGTTTAAAATCCACTTTTGTTTACCCTGGCCTACTTGGAATGTTTTATTGTCCTTGTTTCGGATCCTTCTATCTTCTCTCTTTTTTTCTCTTTTATTTTTTTCTCCCTAGCTGTCTCCTCCTCCCCCAGCCCCTCCATGTACTCCCGTCAATTTTTCTTGCATCCTTCATCAGCCTTGACTAATAGGCCTACTTATCTTGGTTCCTTTTTCTCATTTTATTTGTGGTATGCACTTATGATGATAATTACAATGTATATAATTGCTTTGTCAATGTGCTAACTGCTTGTCTCCCTATGTGTGTGGGTTCTTGGGGGTTATGTAGAACAGGTACTACCTTTTGTTTACCACCTGGTTGAGTGTACTGTTCATACACATGTAGTACTTTCACATCTCCAAAAGACTGAAACTACAGGCAACAGACGATTTAGAGTAAAAATCATTCTAATCTTTGGTTGAAATACAGTTGTACTTTGAAAAAGAATCACTCCAGTGCATGGAAAGCAAAGTGAAACTCAACCTTTTCAATTGAATAAATATTACTCTAAATCTTTCAGTTCCAAACTTCACAGTTGGACCATGTTTTATAGCTCAATGGTTGGACGGAGTATTTTTTTGCGGTGCAGTTTTTGTTGTAATACTCATGTACTGGAACAACCAAAACTCATGTACCAGTACCTGCAAACAGGATCCAAGGCCTTTTTACATTGCTAATAAAAAAAATGTGCTGGATTCATGGCGCCGCATGATAAACTATTCATGAAGCATTCTGGCATGCTTGACTGAGCTGCCAAGTAGCCGGGACAGTTTCCTGCTTCTCTGCAATGTAGATTTTTTTTAGCCTAAAGATAACCAGCGCAATGATATGTGCCAAGTTCTGCCTGCTGGCTCATTCCCAGTTTTAGTAATTATTCTCGGGAAGAATGTAAGGGCTGTTTTGCATATATCCAGATACAAAGAAATCCCCCCACCTCAAAAAGTAAATAAATTAATAACTTAATCAAAAGGAAATAAAAAATAAATAATAAAATCATTAAAAAGAACTGAAGACCAACAGGAAAGTGCATGTACCGTATGTACACATATTTTGGTTGCGAATTTTGCTCAATTTGTGTGCATTGCAACTTATCAATTCCAACTAAAATATAACCTACAATACATTTCTCTAGGCACCCTGCCAAATGCAACACAATGCAACCTGGCTGAAAATAATGAGAACCATGCTAAATGCAACAAATTGCAACAGTGGATTATGTTACATTGTGCAGTGAGCCCATGGTGCATACCAGCCTTGGCACCAACCAAACAGTTACCCTGCTAAATGCAACAAACTGCAACAGTGGATTCTGTTGTATTGCCTTGGCACTATAAGCAGTAACCCTGCTAAATGCAACAGGATGCAACATTGCCATGGCACTATGAGCAGTTACCCTGCTATTTAAAAATGCAACAAGATGCAACAGAGCACGGAGACTTGAGTTGCCTGCTACATGTAAATGCAAAAGTATGCAACAACTTTTTAATTACCTTTGTTGATTTTTGTTGCATTTACTGGGGTTAGGGTTAAGGAAGGTACAGTAAGCTCTCTGTTGCAGTTAAGGAATTATTATAGGCCTACATGGAAATGAAAAAGGGTGTACATTTGAGCAATGGAATCTGTTCATATGTGACCCCTTTATGGTTGGCATATTGGAGAGTTCTAAGACAAACTTCTTTGAGTACAAGTTTCCAATCCAATGTTTGATGCTCATATGAAGACAATGGTTTTTACACATTCAGATAAGAATTAATAATATGTACTTTGCTCCATTTGGGCTTGAACCATTATGAAATATTAGAAAGTTATTTTAAAGTTGAAGAAACATTCTGATAGGTTTTTTGCACAGTGGTGGATTATGAAAGATTCAGGAAGACTCACTTGGAAACAAAAATATCCCTGAGTTATGTTATTAATTCAGATAGTTAAGGTGTCCTGCTTGGTCCTGTAAAAAAAAAAAAAAAATTGGCTAGAATGGCCAAAATGAATGACTGTGCTTTTGCACTCATATTCATTTGGAAACTGGAAATGTACACAATTAATGACTGTTTGTTGTTTGAATTCAGGGGGCCGTTCAGTGAGGTAAGGCGATGCATCCATCGGGAGACCAACCAACAGTTTGCCGTGAAGATCGTGGATGTGGCCAAGTTCACCTCCAGTCCCGGGCTCAGCACAGAAGGTTAGTATGACACTAATAAGCCTTTTTCAGACTGCCGTGTCTCCTACCCGTGGTGAAATTAACACAGGTCCATCAGGAATGGAACCATGTAAAAGACCTTTCAAGGTCTTCTCAGGTTGTAGTTTCACCTACCTATGGTCAAATTAATAGGGGTCCATAAGGAATGAAACTAAAAAGCCTTTAAAGGTCTTTTCAGACTATCGTCTCGCCTACCTACAAGGCTACATGTATGGTGAAATTACAAGGGTCCATCAGGAATGGAATCATGTAAAAGACCTTTCAAGGTCTTCTCAGATTGTAGTTTCGCCTACCTATGGTCAAATTAATTGGGGTCCATAAGGAATGAAACTATGTAAAAGGCCTTTTAAGGTCTTATCAGACTATCGTCTCGCCCACCTATGGTGAAATTAACACAGATCCATCAGAAATGAAACCGTCCAAAAGGCCTTTTAAGGTCTTTTCAGACTATCTTCTCGCCTACCTACATGTACAATGTATGATGAAATAAGCATGGATCCATCAGGAATGGAACCGTCTAAAAGTCCTTTTAAGGTCTTTTCAGACTATCGTCTCACCTACCCATGGTGAAATTAACTCAGGTCCATCAGGAATGGAACCGTGTAAAAGCTGCGACGAAACTTTTTCACGACAGGTAGGAATCATTCGCAGTCGACCTTTGTGAAGTTATGACGTCATTGCGTGTATGCGGATCATGTAGTCTTATTGTGAATCGTCGTCAGGTCGCGGGTGACGTGAGCAGGGTTGCGATGATTCTGTGTCCAGATATGCCGCTTGTTCCACGATAATCACACGATCTCTCAGTTTTGCGACCAGAACATGACTTTTAAGCTTTATGGCTCAAGCTAATCGTGGGTTGACCCGAGGCCAGCTTTATTTTTTAAGTATACAAAATCTACATGTTGGACCCAGGTCAAATCCCGAGGTTTTTTTTCCGAAAACCTGTTTCAAACTAGCAAAAATCCAGTACAGATTAATACACTGGTTCAGCTCAGTGATTCAAATTCAATGTTGCATCAGTTGAATCCAAATTGAATCTCAGTTGTCCAGCATTATTAAAATTATTCGGATTTTTGCAAGAGACTGTCACACAAGCATTTTATGAACCTCTTTGAGGAAATTCCTATCTGGACACATTACAGCTTAGTCCATAAATTTAACTCTGTAAAAATAAATATTGGCAAGATTTGACAAAGTACCATCAGTAAAAATAACTATGCATTGTGTAATTAAAGTTCAAGGATTTGGATCTCGGAAGTATTAAAAGCAATAGCTAGAGGACAGAATCAAGGTCGGAAATAGTTTTTTTTTTTTTTTCCAGCTGTTAAAAATATTTGTCCAAACGAAAGAAAAAAACAGATGTGCTTGGTAACATTTGGTCCTATTAGTACAGTGTATAATCCTAAATACTAGTTACTGAAGGAATATTATGACGTTCTGCACATTACATCTCAATATTGACTGTGCTTGGCCATGTTATCCCGGTACTTTTTGTGTCTTAATTTACCACGTTTACCTTCCGTGGTGGTATGTCGGGTAAATAATATATTTTATGTATTTTTTTGCTGCGGGATATCAGCTCAACCAATCATCATGTCTCTACGCTAATCTGTTAGTCTGTTAATTAGTAACAAACGTTGACATTGTCTACTGCTCCTGCATATTTTGACAGATTTCAAGCAAACTTTGTCAAAAGTATCAGTAGCCTAGTCCCAACGTGTCACATGACCAAACTGAGGTCAAAGGTCATCATGGGGTCATTGGCGTCAAAAAGCTGATTTTTTTTTTTTACTCAAAACACTACTCCTTCCAGAAATTATATGGCACATCACGTGACTCATGCATGCACACGAATTTGTTGGGCCCCAGCTTCCGAGATATTTCCGATTGAGCTTATTAAGTACATAATTAGAGTTTTATATGAGGAACATGTACATTCGTACATATATGTGTTCGTTTTATTTGTAACTGTCCAAGTGTCCATGATGTGTATTCCAATTCAAATGTACTTGGTGGATTTTCTTTGCGACATGAAGCATTGTTATTCAGGCATTCTGGTAATTGTTGCCGTATATATGCCCGGTGTGCATTTTTCATGCAAGACGTCATTGCGAAGGCTCACCCCATCGAAAATTGCCCTGTATCGTGTGTACACGTACATCCCTCAAATCGACATCCAAGCTGTGTTTATAAAATAAGTGAATCCAACGGCAATTTTTTTCTTCCCCCAATTCCCAAGCCCTCATTTCTGACAAAAGTTCGTGGGGAGCAGAGAGCCCGTTGTTAGGGGAAGGGCCGCATGTATGAGATGGCCTGGATTTCCAGCAGGTTGTGCTCTGATTCTCGTTGACCCTTGTGACATGCACAGCGGCTTGCCAACAATCATAGATCAATATCTGGGGTTTTATTTTTCCCCTCTCTATCACTCTTGGAAATGCTCCAAGACACCAGATTTTGGCAGTCGTAATAAAAAGGTTCTGCATTTTGTTTGACTTAAAGGGCCCATGCGTTGTACACATGTATGTTTTTTTAAGTAGTCCCTGAAAATGCTCCGTTGTGTCCCATTTTTGAACTTGTCCATTTTCGTTTTGCCATTTTCAAGGGTATTTTGGTGCCTTTTTGGTTTTTATACTAAAATGCAAATTTCCATATTCATGAGCAAAACTGCTATGTCATTTCAGGCAGAAATCTCCATATGTTACAGCTATTGCAGCACCAACCGTTTGCCAGGATTTTGGATATTTTGCTGACTCGTAAATTGTCTTTTCTTTGGTGATTCGTTGTTGTGTCAGTACATGGCAGTAAGCCAATGAGCATACTTTTCTCACAAACGTTTTCATTGAGCACATTTTTGGGTTCACAATTTGAACAGAAAACCCATAAACTCAACAGTACGCGTCTTCCTGAAATGACATCACAGCGCCCTCAGCTGACCGGAAATTTGCATGGAAAATTTAAAAGGTTAATAAAGAAGTGCACTTTTCAATAAAAATTTACCAAAAAGGAGTCTCAAATAGTTTTCATACAATCAAAGGAGTAGAAAGTTGCACAAAATGCGTTCCTGAGAAAAATTAATCTCAATGTACCCTTTTACGTTTTGTACAGCGATCCAATGAGGAAGGTTTTGAAGCAATGTACAAAAAATGTGCTTTTGAATTGAAGTGGTTCATGGAATCACACTGACCGACAAAAAAAAGAGGAAATTTAATACACACATGCATGAAAACGATTTACGTTAAAAAAAAACACCTTTTGACATTTCTGTTTATTGAACGCCGCACCTTTCAGTGAAAATGAGTGACAACCTGTTTCAATTTCCTTGTGCACTTAACCATTTTATTGATAGCAAGGCACCAAACTCTAGCAACAAATTCTGATTTTTATGTAAATTCAGCATATCCTTTGTTACCCAACATGAAATTTAAATTTCTTTGAAATGACAGCAACTGGAAGTTCATGGAAGGGGAAACTTGTTTTACATGTACATAGGATTTTTGTAAAACCTTCTCTCTTTCCCTTCCTCAGATCTTTCAATTTTCCAGTCTAATTCTGGACAATAGACCCTGAAAGTACATTGTAAAAGGTCACTCAGCGAGCTTCCAGAACCTCGCACAGCCCGCTAAGTTATGGGCATTTTTGGGTTGCCCTTTCTCTTCTTGCTATAATTTTTAACAGAATGATTTCTAACCATAGTCACCTCAAGAAACATTCATGATGTAATTTTAACTGGGCACACTCATTACTTTACCGTACCTGCCAATAGAATATAGATTTTCACGTGCTGTTGTACATGCAATGTATGCACACACATCAATTCTACCACACCGGTACATTTACCACTCTCGGCATCAGTGTGTGCACAAGTTGTCACAAATTCAGCAATGCATAATGCATGCACTTACATTGTGTATTGAGTTTATGATTAATGGAGTGAGAATGACACGTCACATGATTTCACACCTGCAACTTTGAAAGGCAAGGATGCATACAATGCATGAAGGGACAAGACAGGCACATGTACACGATGTACATGTACATGTACCACTCAGATGGTAGTATACAACTTAAAGGTGCAGACCTGCAAATCGATCCCATAGACTTCAGTGATAATTATGCATACTTCCGAAAATTATTACAAATACTCACAACTCTCCAAGGTGTTTGAGACACCCATCAAATTAAAGCTTATTTCATCATCTTTCATTATTCGTTCAATTTTTCGTTCAAGTCCTGTGGCCCATCACCATTTTGAAAATGATGCCTGCGCTCCGTTGCCAAAAAGGGCAATTTTATGGCCCAATTTCATCCACATTTCACAGAAATACGAGCTTGAACTGCTGTGCACGGCTTCCAGCCATCTTTTTTACAAACCTTCAAGTTCATGGCCCACGGAATGCTCTAACAGCAAAGCAGTTGAGGGCATGTACAAATCGTGATTTGGCCCACGTAGGCAATTCTGGGCCTATTTGCAGGTCTAGACACCCTTAACCCTAATGAATCCATCAAGATCCACACCCCTGTTTTGAAGGAATTTGGGTGGATTCAGGATACAATGTATACCTCCATATTGAAAATGTTGGGGGATTTTGATGAATTCAGGACAGGAAGCCTAGCGGTACTGCAGGATTTTGATGGATTCAGGATACCTCCATATTGAGCAGTTTGGTGGATTCTGATGGATTCACTGGTGGATTCTGATGGACTCAGGATATTTTTGCATGATAAAATTGGTGGATTTTGGCAGATTCAGGATACTTTCTAGTAAAAGTGCTCAAAGGGGTTGGGGTTAAAGAAGCTCCAACTATGCTCTGCAACAAATTCAATTGTTTTTCCTCCGGAAAAATTTTCAATTTTTACTTCTTTTTGCATCAGCAACCCTCTGAAACAAGGCTTAGTGTTGCCTTCACACACAAACAAATCTAGCAAAAAGGTGCTACATAATGGGTCTCATAATGTTTTACCTGGCTTTGGTTGCATTCTCC